AGGCCCAGGAGCAAAGATGTTCAAGAGCAGCAAGGCCCAATGGCAGACAGACAGAATCCTTGAGAGCCATGCACGATTGCTGAAAAGCATGATGGTGGCCAGCTTAAGTGGTAATGTAAAAACAGCATCGGCCTGACCGAAGAATAGGCATAGGTAATGTGAAGAAGAATAAGCAGTTCTTCTTTGGCTATCTATTGTTATTATTTTGATATTTGCTTTCTCTAAGTAATAATGGCTTTTACTTTGCCAACACAGTGTTTAAGTGTCTCATGTGTCCAGCTCAGTCACAGATGAACACAGTACCCATGGGATGGCTGATGCCAGCAGGTGTGTGTGTCTCATTTTTAGCAGTCTAATGGCTGCCTGGAAGCATGAGGCACAGCCCATGTACATGGGTAACACAGACAGATATGTGTAGACAGTTATCATGGACAGAGTCAACATCTAATCATATACCATGGCGAGGATAAATAATCTCTAAGAGAGAGGAGACAATAAAAGGCTTTGGTCTCAGAGAAGATATGAGACTGGATTTTAGAGCTGATAGATCAAGAAACCTTGGGCAAGAAGAAAAGGGAAGAAAGTCAAGGAGGATATAAATGGGAATACAAGGAAGCATTGGGTGCAGGGGCTGAAAACCAAACTATATGAATTCTACTCCAAAGAGGAGCCCTTGGCTGAGAATAATGGGTACAGAGTGTTTGTGGAGAGTGGTAAATGTTTAGGATTTTCTTCGCTTGAATACTAAGAATTGTTCCTGTGCTTCAAGAACATCCTAGCACACTTAGAATCTGACACTGCAATTCCTCCATCTCAGGCATCTGATCCCTTCCTAAGACACTTCTCTCCATCCTACACTCAGTGATGCCTGGCCAATCCTCACTAGCCATGGGATTCTACTGTTTCACAGGGATGGCTAACTCCTCAACAAGCTCCTCTTCTCCTTCGAGAAATGGAATTAGAAAGGCTATGTATTCTTCCCCTCAAAAAAAAACACAATAAAACAGAACTTGCCAGAGCTACATAAACATCAATCTCCACAATCCTAAGACCAGAAGCAGCAGATCGTGCCTGGTTACCACTACCAACTACTCTGAGAGGGATAGCATTAGAAGGTCCTAGGTTGAGTGGGAGGAAAATGTGGGACAAAACAAAATCATTAAAACAACAAAACCCAAAATAATTTTTAAAGATGTGAACAAAAACAGTATGACTGGTCAAACAGAGACTGGTGCAACTCCTGAGACTAAGGCCTTTAGACACCCTTCAAGTCTGGAAATGAACTCATCCCTATGGCTCAATTTTCAGCCAAACAGTACACAGGTCTATAAGAGTAACAGTAACACTAGGAAGGTATGCAAACCTTGACATTGCTAAATGCCATCAAGTCAGTTCTGACACACAGCAATCTTATGTACAACAGAGTGAAACAGTGGTTGGTCCTGCACCATCCACACTATTGTTCCTATGTCTGAGCCCAATGTAGCAGTCATGGTCTCAATCCATCCATCTCCTCTCTCTCACTGCTCCTCTACCCTACCTAACACGATGTCTTTCTCCAGGGACAGGTCTCTCCAGACCACATGCCCAAAGTACGTAAGATGAAGTCTCGCCATCTGTGCTCTGAGGAGCACTCTGGCAGTACTTCTTCCAAGATAGATTGGTTTGTCCTTTGCAAACCTTAGGATAAGCAAAATTTGAGACCTAAAGGGCAGCACTTATCCAAAGACAGTTCAGAAGGGTTAGGAAAGAAGAAGGATCAGAAACAGAAAACACGGTGAGGAAGTGGGATAAACCACGTTATATTGTGCAGATTACAATCAAGGACATGGCACAAAATACATATGAATTGTTGAGTGGACAGCACAGGAACACTTTGTTCTAGTAAACCAACATTCTGTGAGGCTCACCTTCCAGACACCATCACTGAAGACAAATGGGTACATAAGCAAATGTGGTGAAGAAAGCTGATGGTGCCCAGCTATCAAAATATATAGCGTCTGGGGTCTTAAAGGTTTTTTTTGTTTTGTTTTGTTTTTTAAACATTTTATTAGGGGCTCATACAACTGTTATCCCAATCCATACACACATCAATTGTGTAAAG